CAGGGGCTGCAGATGTTGGAAAAGAGAAATTTCAATGAAAGGCCCTGATTCAGCAACCCAAGCAGCCTCCTTCCCCCAGCCAAAGTAATCAGATTGGCAGCTGAATCAACGGGTACAGTGGGCCCTTTGTTTGGGAGCTCCAGAGGTTAGTAATTGACAGAAGGTCAACAAAGTTTTATGAAGAAAAGAACAGAATATTAGAGGGTATTAGGCTGAAGGGAGAGAGTTTGGTAGTTTTATGTAATTGGAAGAAAGTTAGAACCTGAGTCAAGGGTTACAGCCACGGGAAGAAAAAGTTGCATATTGCTGTTTAAATGTGAAAATAGTTTCAGCTCCAGAAACAGTATTATTGTTGAGTGGATAGAATATCTGAACAAAAATCTGCAGTTTTCCTAATGGCAGTTGTGTGCAATTGTTGGTGTTGAAGGATTTATTTACGAGCTTTATGTATAATGCTAGAAGGATGGTTGTTTTTCTCATAGCATCGTAAGACAGAAAAAATCTTAAGCTGTCCTGTTGACTCTGGGAGAAGTATTAGCTGTTATCTATGCCGTGTCATATGCAATACATGCTTGCCTAATCTGCCACCCTGGAAAATTTCATTCACTGAGACCTGTACGTTTAAAGAATGCTAGCTCTCAGTCCATGCTTAATCTCCTTCAGACTAAGCATGGGTAGTACTAATTTATTTTTAATTTTTATTAGACATGTTTTGTAGACCAGCCTTATGACACTAATTGTAGTATTTCAGTTTTACCCATATCCATCTTAAAATGGAATACAAAAAATTGGAGAGGGTTCTCTAGGGCCTTACTAGCACTAAGTAGGCTGGGAGGATTACTACTGTTGATGTGTTCCAATATGATGTTTGCTGTGTTTGCAATAGCTTGAGAACGCTGATGTTTGTTCAGTTCTAATCTACGCAAGCCAAGTCAATGTTGGCTTCTATGCTGATTATTACTCATCTCTTTATTTTAAATGCTGAAAAATAACCTCTCTGTTCCATTATTTTCCAGGAATTAAAGTGAAGATGATGGGTCTATAATTCTCTGGCAGTCTTTTTCACCCTTTTTAATAAATAATAGGAAATATTTGTGCAATTTCCCATCTTTTATGATCTCGTATGTGCTCTGCAAGAATTAAAAAGCAGTTATTAACATTGCATGGCATTGCATCAGCCAGCCCTTAACTGCTCTAAATTAATCAGACCCACTCTGGTTGAAAATACCTGAGCTTGTTATTCTCTTCCTGTGTGAGGCTGAGGCCTTGGTTTATCCCTGGTATCAATTATGATAACTTCCTCCTTGTGACTGGCTTTTTGATGAAGATTAATGTATTGTTTTGATGTCTGCTTATGCCCATGAGCATTTTGAAATCTGTTTGTTGCAATTACCTCTCAAGTAAGGAATGATCTGTGAACTCATAACCATTTCAGAGGGAAAAATTTAGCTCTTTTATGATGTATAGCATATGCCCTGTGATTTGACACTGTGATCATTTTGGCAATTTATTTTTCAAATGTGTGAAAGAACATTCCTTTCTCAATAACACAGGATGCTTGCTTGTGTATTTTCTTTGTCATTGGTGCCTAAAATGGAGCGATGGGGCTACCTGTGCTGGACCTTGTCAGTAAGCAAATCTTCCTCATATTTTCAGGAGAACTGAATTGACAAAAGCAGTGATTGATTAATTATTTATATTCAGTTTGGAAAAGGATTTTGTATACTGCTGGTTTTCTTGCTCCAGTTTGCTATATTAAGTCAAAGAAAGAGAATGTATTTTGTACATCAGAAATATAGAACACGGAGTTCAAATATGGTTTCTGTTTTGGAGCTGGGATTTTCCTTTAATTGAAATAACTTCCTTTAATGCCCTGAAAAGTTAAGAAATACTTTTTGTGTTGATGAGCAGTTTAAACGTAGTACTATTTACAGCATCTTCGTTTTACTTGAGCATGTGGTTCCTGAAAAGAGGGATATTCTTGTGGATCTGAACTGTAGCACATCTGGAAAATACATTGTCCTGTACTGGCAGTTGGCATTCAGGCTGAGTTCTGGTTATGTTGAAGTCTTGTTTGGTCGCGCAACATGCAAGGAGGACAGATACTGGTGATCTTTTCTACCTGGCAGTATCACAGTAAATTAAATTAAAGAAGTGGGTGTTCAGAAATAAGCCATGATACATTTAATGTCTAAGCAGAGAACATATGCAAATGAAAAATGTGAGAGTAACCATGGTGGAGCAGATGAGAGATCAAGGCAATCCTGTGTCTTGCCTCCCATGGCAGCAAAAGAAGATGCTCCAGTAAAAATGTAAGAAGAGGTCTAGTGTACATAGTACTCTATGCTGGGTATTTACCTAGCCTCCAGCCATTTTGAGCTCAGAGACTTAGTTGTTTGCACAGGATTTCTCCGAATTAGTTAGTTCTGCATGGATTTTTGTAGAATTAACTGGGGTGGAAAAGATCTCTAAGATCATCAAGTCCAACCATTACCCCAGGACCGCCAAAACCACCACTAAGCCATGTCATTAAAGGCCTCATCTCAATGTCCAGTCTCACCTGTAACATATGTGAACTCTGCCCACAGCCTAACTACATATTGCTTGAGAAAACTTTACCTTGTTTTAGCTTTGTTTTGAAATTACTTTTTGCTGGTTTTCCCTCATACTGCTGTTTGCTTTACTGAGAAATTGGTCCATCCTAAGACTCATGCCTCCATAGAACTTTGCTGTTGTTGACTTCAGCCATCTCCTTCCCAGAGTGACAAGACGTAGCAGCTGTACAAAACCTGGATTATAACTTTAATTATCCTTACTGCTTTTCTCTGAAACTCTTCCAACACTTCTGTACATTTTTTGAGGTGAGAGGACCTCAACAGCATGCAATGTTCAGTGGATAAGACTGTACTTCTTGCCAGTCGGTGCTGATAATACAACATGTAAGGTTCAAATATTGAGCATTTCTCTCCCTACCAGTTTTTAATAATGACTGTTTGTGGGTTGGTGTTGTTCTGTCAGCTTGCGGTCTTGCAAGTCTACCTTTTTTTCTTAACATTATATGACAATGCTATATTTGTAATAGGTAAGCAAAAAAGACGGAACTATCCAATATCTTTGTTGCATCTAAAATCAGTGTAATGAACAGTTATATTTTTTTCTGGCTTATTGGTCAAGACTGACAGTGAAAGTCTGACACCTAAAATTACTTCATGGAATTTCCTCCTTTTCAAGCAGTAACACATAATGCTGCTAGGAAAAGGTACAGGAAGTAAGAAGAATAAAAGCAAAATGGGATACCCTTACTGAAATATTAACTAAACAAAGTGGGAAAAGGAACATAAGTTAAAAATTAGGTAACACTGCAGAGAGTTGGTGATGGCACTTGATACAGGGTGCATCTGCATTACAGTGAAGGAAATTGGATTAAAAATGACAAAAAGAACTATTATCTGTTCAGAAAAACATCATGGATTTACTCATATAAGAAAAAATGTTCTAAGTTATTAGTGCAAAATCAGAAAGAACTGAGAGTAGTAATTCAACAGGAATACACAGTTTTTTCCTTAAAGTTCTTCACAGCAGTGGGGTTTAATTCTTTTTAATCCAAGAGGAAAAGATTCTGTTTGGCTGTAATGACTTGTTTGTCATCTGATCAAAAATCAGTTATGGAGTAAAAAACTTCATATTGATAAAAACTTTTCAGTGTTTTAAGTTGTGGTACAGAAACTTTAGGGTTAAAGCTTGGAATTAATAATAAATGTGGTCAAAGTGGAATTTTGAAGATTACAGAAAATATACATATTTCTTTCATAGAAGCAAGTTTAAATGACAGATCTGGTTTGTGTTTATAAGTTCCAAAATACATGAAGGACTTTCAATTTTAAATTTGCTTAGTTATAGAGGCTTGGCTGGTAGGTAGTGTCTATGGTTGGTAATTGTTCTCTGGTAAAGCACATTGGAGATTAAAGCACACTGGAGATTAAAGCACATGGAGATTAATGTTTTTTTTCCCAGACATAAACACAAGAGTGAATCACACAAAAAATATTATTGAAACATTTACAAATCAGCAAATGTTATTGTTTCTTTCCATCTCTGCCTTGAAAAGTTTAAAAAAATTAAGAGGTAGAGGTCTGGGAAGGAGGGAAGCGAGAAAAAGATGTTTCTGTATGCATTTATCTGAGCTTCCAAAGTTTTTTCCTGTGTGAATTCCACTAAATGACTAAAGAAATAGAAATAACTATTTTAAAATTGAACACGTGGCATTAACCCAAAAGCACCACTCAGAACACAGCCAAGTGTGCCTAAGAATGGGCTCCTACACATAGAGTTTCATCCTGTGTATATTGGTGGATTATGATCACCAGAAAAAGCAAAATGCAAGTACCTGGGGACTAAAAGAACAGGTTCTATTTTTTTTTTTTCTTTTTTTTTACTCCAGTGTCTCATCTTGGATTTATCTTCCTTGTGGTCAGTAAATGTTGCTGCCCCATTATATGGGACAGCAACTTATGCAACATAGGGGAGGTCAAGCAGAAGCAGGCGAACAGAGGTGAACTTGCCTTGCCGACCATTTGTAAAAAATGAGATGTGACATACCTCTGCTGAAATTTGACATATCCTTATCATGCATTCATCCATTCACACTGGATCAAGCAAATCAACAGAAAAGTCAGGCCCTGAGTCTGCACCATACCCTCAGGGGCATGATCTACAATGGCAATTTAAGATGGCACCACCTTGGCCACCCACTTCCATTTCTCCCTCCAGTCTGCAGATGAAGAGTATCATTTCATTGGACTGTGCTGGGAGTAGCAGAATATGCCTGCCGAAGCCTTAACTGTTCCAATTTGAAAGACAATGTGTTACCACGGATATAGCACTGTCTTCACCATTACTCTAATTGGGGTGTCTGGGAATGAGCACACAACTCATGTAGAATCAGTAGTACTGCCTATACAGCAGGAACCTTAATTCAACAAACTCTTTTTTCTTCCCAGGTGAAATGGAAATTCCAGAAGCAAATGACCCCTTAGGTCATGTGGATGGACTTGAGAGACCAATTCCAACACCTAAAGGTAAAATCAATTGTAATCAATTGTAGCTACTTTTTTCTTGTTCATTACTCCCGCACTGGTGGACTGTATGTTTGACCCAAACAGAGGGCTATTATCACCTGTGTTTGACCCAAAAGAGGGTTATTATGACCTTGCTAGCATATTTCTGTTACATTGGTACCATGAAAATAATTTAATTCTTTACAGTGCCATACTTGGCATCTGTCGGTAAATGTTAAGCACTGGTATCTCTAAATATCTTTGGTCTGATATAATTAAATCTCGCCAATGGAAACACAGGGATACTTACTTTTTAAGTAGCTCTGAGTGTTAGAGATATAATTTTTTTTTTTTTTTTAAACAGGTGGCAATGGCAGAATTTCTAGTAACTTGTTAGATAGCATAAAATTTTATGATACTTTATGACTTAAACTACAGGTCCAAATGCTTTCTTGGATCTGAAAATGCACATATTTGCTGCATGTTGTGAGTCCAATTACAATCTGGTACAACTTTCTAAATCAGGACATTTTCAGTGTTCTAACCAAAGAAAAATGTTTTCTCACTTGTAGTACAGATTTTTTTTTTATTTTGTGTGGATGCACTGCTAAAGTCAACACTTTTGCTTAGAAAAAAGGTCAATTTTGTTAGCATAAAGAGCTCAGCCTTTTTACCTTATGATTAGCATTCTCAGCAAGATGAACACATGTTAAAGCCTATGAAGCTCTGAGGTGCTGGTCAGATGCTCTTTCTTGAAGCTTCTACTTCAGAGAGCCTAAGTTTGAGACTGCCTTGGAATATAGTCTCTGTTCTCATAGATATCTAATATCATATTACTAAGAGCTTCATTTCATAGAATCATAGAATCATAGAATAGGGTTGGAAAGGACCTTAAGATCATCAAGTTCCAACCCCCCTGCCATGGGCAGGGACATGTCACACTAAACCATATCACCCAAGGCCTTGTCCAACCTGGTCTTGAACGCTGCCAAGGACGGAGCATTCACAACTTCCCTGGGCAACCCATTCCAGTGCCTCACCACCCTAACAGGAAAGAATTTCCTCCTTATATCCAATCTGAACTTAAACTGTTTGAGTTTTAACCCATTACCCATTGTCCTATCACTATAGTCCCTAATGAAGAGTCCCTCCCCAGCATCCCTATTAGGCCTGCTTCAGGTACTGGAAGGCTGCTGTGAGGTCTCCATGAAGCCTTCTCTTTTCCAGGCTGAACAGCCCCAGCTTTCTCAGCCTATCTTCATACGAGAGGTGCTTCAGTCCCCTGATCATCCTCGTGGCCCTTCTCTGGACTTGTTCCAACAGTTCCATGTCCTTTTTATGTTGAGGACACTGCACACAGTACTCCAAGTGAGGTCTCACATAAGCTCCTTTTGATGCAGCCCAGGATATGGTTGGCTTTCTGGGCTGCAAGGGCACACTGCCTGCTCATGTTCATTTTCTCATCAACCAGAACCCCCAAGTCCTTCTCTGCAGGGCTGCTCTGAATTTGAATGCCATTTTGGCTTCTTACCTTCACTATGCTTAATAGAAGCTATTTTTTCAAAATTTTCCATTAATTTCTATCCTTTATTAAATAAAAGATGTATTCATGTTTGTGCATCTCTGTGTTGTTACTAATCATCAGTGACACCTGATCATCGTGTGTCCTTCCCATTTGGAAAGAAGGTGTACTCCTCAACCCTTTCCACTTCCTGAAGCTCCCAAATTATTTTAGAGGATTAAACTTTGACCTCCTTTATGAGAATATATTTCAGTAACAGTCATTCCTGTCAGCAATACTGTATATTACAGTTGGTTTATTCACTCCACACTCACATACCCACTAATTTTAATGGGAAAAGGTCCATGTTTAATCTTTAACTGCATCTGACAAGCTTGTTTACTTGGCAAGTTGGTCCACTTTACTCTTCTATTATATCTGAACTTTTACAGATACAGGTTTAAAAAAAAATTTTTTTTCCATATGACATTATGTGGTTAAATTCTTGCTGAGGAAGGAGTTACAGTTATTTCCTTTTTTTCAGGGCCACAGGCAATACCTGTCTAAGGAAGTAATTAATCACATCTCAAGCATTTCTACATCATAAGGATTTTCTATTTCCTTCAGAAAAAAAGAAGAGACCCTTGTTCTCATATGATTGAATGGTACTGAATCAGTTGTTAGTTCCCAAGATGCCTGGTCAGGAAATGGGTCTCATTTTGCTCCCCTTTTATTTTTGTGGCTACAAAATTCTCCAGAATAAGCAAAAATTTCTTGGCTGAAATTTTTTGTTTCTTTGGTTGGAATGTTAACTTATGTGGTCCTATATCATAGTGAGGTAGCAGTTTTTGTTTTAAAAGAATCATTGGACAGTTCTGCTTCAGAGTTTGTGTATACTACTAAGACCATTAGAAAGAGGTCTTCAGCTTCTTTCACCACATCAACCTTTTTTCCTTCCTTGAGAAATGTTAAGTTACTCTGTTTTGTTTCTAACCTCTTTTTTTTTTTTTTCCCCGATTGTAGAATAGACTCCAAATAGTCCTGAAAATAGTAGTAAATGGGCTTTACTAATGCCCGAAGTTAAAGCCAGTTTAGAAGTACTAAGTGTATTGGTCGCTTTCTGCTCTAAATCCTCCAGAAGTCCTGAAAATTGGTTCTGTCTCCAAAGAAGTAACCAGGTTAAACATTATTATTAATAATGTGCACTTTAAAAAAGCTGCAAGTCTCTTCCTGCAAGTGAAGCTAGCCTTCTGATCTTGCGATAGGACCATGACTTGGCTAGGGCTTTGAGGAGAATTTATCTTCCCCTGTTTCCTTTAAGTGAGCATCTGAATCATCAGAAGAACAAAGCCTCTCAGCAATGTCTCACAGAAGAGCAGAGCAGAACACTGAACATTTGCTATAGAAGAATTTAGGGCTGCTTTGGAATAAAAACAAAAGATTAGAAGTCAAATCTCCTCACAGTCCAGCAAGCCTTTGCAGAGATGATCCCTTCTTTAATGTTGATTTCACTCATAGAACCACAGAATCATAGAATGTTTAGGGTTGGAAAGGACCTTAAGATCGTCTAGTTCCAATCTCCTTGCCATGGACAGGGATACCTCATGTTAGACCATGTCATCCAAGGCTCTGTCCAGCCTGGTCTTGAACACTAATGGGACCCAGGGATGGAGCATTTACCACTTCCTTGGGGCAACCTGTGCCAGTGCCTCATCACCCCCACAGCATACCAGTCGAGCATCTCTTTGGTATCTTTCTGTTTTACAACAAGTATTCAAACAAACTTCCTGATTCCTAAAAAGTCTCTTTCCCCTGTTAAAGAGGCAGAACAGTGTCAGCCCCATGCTCCACTCTGGAAACTTGCTGCCTGGGGGATCTTGTTCTGCTCCCTGCACACCTTCCCGCACTCCAGCTTTTCCTCTTGCTGATGCTGGTGACGGAGAAAGTTCTCTCTCTCTCTCTTTCACTGCAGCAGAAGGTTGGCGAGGACAAGGCCAACAGGGAGCTTTCCTTTCTGAAGCCCAGAAGAGAAAAAGAACATACCTGTTAATTGCAAACAAATGCAAGAGGTGTGGCAGAAGCTGAAAACAAGTTTTTCTTTGGTGATGAGCATTGTTGGTGCATCATCATAGAGAGGCTCACTGCTCTCAGTCTTGTACTCTTTAAACAAGTCTGGTTACAAACTCCGCATGCATAGATTCGCTTATAAATCTTACTTACAGTAAAATAAATAATGACTGATCATGGGAATGTTGGACCGATGCACCCTAAGAACTGCACGAGTAAGGAGAACCTGCAATAGCTGAGACATTGAGTGAGTTTAGTTGCTCCAGGCACCTGACCTTAACTGTAGTTGGTCTGGGAACTTACTCTGGTTCAAGAGGTATGTACATAAATCCAGCTTATGACTGGACATTGGCTGCTTTTATTTGACATAAGGTAACCTGTCAGGAATAACATGCATGTTTTCTAAAAATGATGGCCTTTAATTTACAGTGCCTCACATGTTATCTGTTTGTCCTGGGTTCAACAGTAGCAGTCATGTTTCTCCTTTGTGGCAGCTGGTGCAGTGCTGTGTTTTGACTTCCAGCCTGAGAACAGTGCTGGTGATACCGATGTTTTCAGTTGTTGCTAAGTGATGTTTACCCAGACCAAGGACTTTGTGAGGCTCATGCTCTGCCAGGGAGGAGGGGAAGCTGTGAGGAAGCAGAGAACGGGGCGCCTGACCCAGGCTAGCCAAAGAGGTATTCGATACCACAGCACATCATGCCTGGGGTGGGGGGTAACTGGGAGTTACCCAGAAGGACACGGGCTTCTGGGTCAGACTCGTTTCTTGGCCGGCGGTATTGTATTCTCTTCCCTTGTTATTTTCTCTTATCATTGTTGTCGTTGGTGGTAGCGGTGGTGATTTGTGTTGTACATTGGTTGCTGGACTGTTCTTGTCTCAACCTGTAGGAGTTGCACTCTTTCGATCCTCCTCCCTGTTCCTCCGGGAGCGGGGAAGGGGAGAGCCCCGGGGGGGCGGGGAGTGTCTCGATTGCTCTCAGCCCGGCACCACTCACTGGGAGTGAGTGAACAAGCTGTCTGGCTAGGGTTTAAACCACGACAGTTTTTTTTTGGCGCCCAATGTGGGGCACAAGTGGTTGAGATAACGACAGATCTGACTGGATTAATAGTCACTCGTCACAATGCCGATTTACTGGCTCTCAAGGTTGTTCCTCTAGATCTCACAGTTTCAGTATATCGTATCTTACTTCCATCCGGTATTTGCTGTATTAGCGTTTTTCAAGTGTGGGACTTGGGCTAAGGTTTTTGTCTCATTGCACTTTATGGTAATGACTTGTAATACAATAGAATCATTGATCATGAAACTGATCTGGCTTATGTTCCCAGTGTGGTCGCCACCTTTATACTTTGGGAGGCATATAATAGAAGAGCTTAGCAATTACACATCTTTTTTCTCCTTCTCAGGTGCTCAACCTGTGAAGGAGACATCCTTTTACCCTCCCAGTCCTCCCCC